GAGAAAGTTCCAAAGGGAGAAGCATCAGGTATACTCAAAGCCTTTACTACTGCCCTATTAACTAGTACTGAAACTGATTGTTGGATAATTGATTCAGGCGCCACAGATCATATGACAAACAAAGTTACAAATTTACATCATTTTAAAAAATTTTCAAGTCCCTCACATGTGTCTGTTGCAAATGGAAAAAATGTCTTAGTTTTGGGAAAAGGAGAAATAAACTTACTCTCTCAAAAAACACCTTCCACTGCCCTCTATGTACCAACCTTTCCCTTCCAACTTTTGTCAATTGGAAAGATCACCAACACCCTAAACTGCCGTGCTATTTTCTCACCAAATAAAGTGATGTTTCAGGATGTTCTCACCATGAAGATGATTGGTGAAGGGGTCTTCATAAATGGACTTTACTACCTGTGCAAGAATGCATGTTTCACTCAGGCTCTTCAAGCTCAATCAAAGTCCATAGATGAAAACCAACTCAGGCTCTTGTCGAAACTGTTTCCAAATTTTTGTAACCCTTATCCAACTTGTGATACTTGTCAATTTTCCAAGTTTACTAGGCTACTTTTTGGTAATTCAATGTCTAGGACAAGTAAACCTTTTGAAATGGTACACACCGATGTATGGGGACCTGCAACTGAATCAATGGAAGGTTTTAAATATTTTGTTCTATTTGTTGATGATTTCTCTCGAACAAGTTTTCTATATCTTATGAAATCAAAAAATGAAGTCCCTACCATTTTCAAAGACTTTCACATGCATGTTAAAACGCAATTTCAATCAAACATTAAGGTTTTAAGGTCAGATAATGGCACTGAATTTCTATCCAACAACATGCTTCAATACATAAGTTCTCAGGGTATCATACATCAAACCAGCTGTGTGGGGACTCCCCAACAAAATGGAGTAGCCGAGAGGAAAAATAGAGATCTCTTGGAAAAAACTCATGCTCTCATGGTTCACATGCACGTTCCAAAGAAATTTTGGTCGTTTGCCATCCTTACTGCCACTTATCTCATCAATCGACTTCCAAGTCGTGTGCTAGGGTTTAAATCTCCATATGAAGTTCTTAAGGGGAGGAAAATAGATTTGACACATCTCAAGGTGTTTGGTTGTGTGTGTTTTGTTCACATCCAAACCTTGAACCGTGACAAACTAGATGCCAGGGCAACCAAGTGTGTGTTTATGGGATACTCGACCACTCAAAAGGGATACAAGTGCTTCAATCCAGTCACTAAGAAGTGCACAGTTTCAAGAGATGTGAAGTTCGAAGAAGACTATCCCTATTTTACAAGTCAGGGGGAGGATTTAGTTGACATGTTCCCACTCCCTCAAAACTTTAATTATCCGATGTTGGAAAATAGATCAGTCATTGTAAGTCCAGATTGTGAAGAAGTTCAAACTGACCAAATTACTGCCAGTGAGAGTGAAGACGAGCCCTACTCTGATCATTCTCCGCCCTCTACAGAGTCTCAGGTGATTAAAAGAAATCCTCCTCGAATCAGAAAACCTCCAGTTAGGTTGCAGGACTATGTTACATATGCCTCACGACATCCAATCAATGAATGTATCAGCTTTAGTAAGTTCTCAACATCTCATGCTACATTTCTCAGTGAAATTGATAAGCACTATGAACCAAGAAGCTTTCAAGAAGCTTTTCTTCTCCCACAATGGAACCAAGCCATGAAAGAAGAGCTTCGTGCACTGGAAGAGAATTGCACCTGGAACCTAGTTCAACTACCACCAGGAAAGAAGGCTGTTGGAAGTCGTTGGATTTACAAGACTAAATTCAAAGCTGATGGATCTATCGAGAGACACAAGGCTAGACTTGTTGCTCGAGGTTTCACCCAAACCTTTGGTGTAGATTATAAGGAAACATTTGCACCGGTGGCCAAGATGAACTCAGTCAGGGTTTTACTGTCAGTTGCAATCAATTGTGGGTGGTCACTCTACCAAATGGACGTGAAGAATGCTTTCCTTCACGGCGAGCTGCAGGAAGAAGTGTATATGCAACCTCCTCCAGGCTATGATGGTATTAAAGGCAACATGGTTTGTAAATTGCACAAGGCAATATACGAATTGAAACAATCACCAAGAGCTTGGTATGCCAAGCTCAGTTCTGTTCTGGAAAAGGCTGGATTCATGCGAAGTAATGCTGATTCTTCGCTATTTGTAAGAACTGGCACCAGGGGGAAGTTGGTGGTCCTCATCTATGTTGATGATCTTATCATCACTGGAGATAATACCGTGGAGATTGAGGCACTAAAACTCTCACTACATCAAGTTTTCGCTATCAAGGATTTGGGAAGGTTAAAGTATTTTTTGGGGATTGAAATGGCAACATCTTCAAAATGACTGTTTCTACATCAACGGAAATATGTATTGGACCTCCTTCAAGAAGCAAAAATGCTTGACTGCAAGCCTGCTATCACTCCCGTTGATTGTAAACTGAAGCTCAGCATAGATGGAGAAGCCATGCATGATGTAAGCTACTATCAACGATTAGTAGGCAAGCTCATATACCTCACTATCACTCGTCCAGATATCACATATGCAGTGAGCTTGGCTAGTCAGTTCATGCGCTCTCCCACTGTTGATCACCTTAACCTTGTTAAGAGAATCCTTCGTTATCTTAAGGGTTCAATTGGGCAAGGAATTACAATGCATAACAATCAGTCCACTGTCATTAGTGGCTACACAGATGCAGACTGGGCAGGTAATGCAATTGATAGGAAATCAATCACAGGCTATTGTACATTTGTTGGTGGAAACCTTGTCACATGGAAGAGTAAGAAGCAACAGGTAATTGCTCGTTCCAGCGCAGAGGCTGAGTATCGAGCCATGGCAGCCACTGCTTGTGAACTCATTTGGCTTAAAGGGCTTCTTTCAGACTTAGGGTTTCCTAGTTCTACTCCTATGACGCTTATGTGTGATAATCAGGCAGCCATGCACATTGCTGCCAATCCTGTGTTCCATGAAAGAACCAAACATATTGAAGTGGATTGTCATTTCATCAGAGCTCAAGTTCAAACGCAAATCATCCGGACCATGTTCACACGAAGCCATGATCAACTAGCAGATCTTTTTACAAAGGCACTAGCATCATCTCAGTTTCATCGGTTATTGGGCAAGCTTGGCTCAGTGAACCTCCTCGATCCAGCTTGAGGGGGAGTGTTGAAAATAATGAGTTCCTTGATTTAAGGAATGTTTTATTCCTTGTTTTATTCCATGTTTTATTCCTTGTTTTATTCCTTGTTTTATTCCTTGTTTTAAGGGGAATGTTTTTTTTTGCTTTTCTTAGTCTTCTTCCTCATATATACCCGAACCATTGTACATTGCATTTATGAAATATACATCACAAATTAAAGCTATAATTTCTATACTTTTTCTTCCCTGGAGTTTTTACCATGTGGTTTTATCCAGAAAAGGCTTTTCAGAGGCTCCTCCCTTTGAGCTTGCCCGACCTACTATTGTATGAGTTTCGTTTGGCGTTTGTTATCGCCCAAGCTAATATATTATGATCCTCTTAAAATAAATAAATACACACACACACACACACACAAGGGCGTGAGGGTTCACTAAAAAAACTGATAATAATGAAGGAGACACGTACGTTTAAGATTTGAAAAGCAGCATGACTCACGACTGATTTATAGGAAAGATTTTGCTTTCTTTATAGTAAGTAGGGTTCTGAATATAAATAATAATTACTGTATGTCAACGAGTTACTTGCATCATAAACATTCATAATTGCATTAGCAACGCTATAGTTACATGATCGTTTAGATTTTTAAAACCCTCCAAATTTCATGAACAATGTTTTTTATTTGAGTGAAAAATTAATAAAATTAATAATAATTATTGTAGAAGTGTGAAAAATGGAATCACTTGTAATGAAAAGTTTTACAACTTTCATGAAGGGGCCAACTCTGAAATTTAGTATGTATATACTAATTTAGTATTATGTTTTACATTTTTTTGAATCAAATTATGTTTTTCATTTTCATTTTTATTGATTTAAAATATATTTTTCTTAATTAGTAACGGGTCGAGTCATATTACCTGATAATATTAATGAGTTGATTTCAGGTCGGGTCATATTACCTGTTTACTTTAACGGATATTACACGACACGACCTATGAAGTTATCGAGTATGACACGAAAACGACACGAACAACAAAAACACGACACGAATGTCAGGTCTAATATTTGGTACCACAAATTCATTGTTAGCGTCCCTTTTACAATTCGTACAAATTTAACCAAAAATCCATGTAAAATTTCTAAATTGCTCCCTCTCCTCTCGTCTCTTTCCCCTCTCTCTCTTCGACTCCCACCAGTCCACCATAGCCCCACCCCACCGTCTCTTCTCCCAAATCCAGTTAGGCACTCAAAACTGATGTAAAGAAACATATGTGGCATACCTGAGATTGGCAATGGTAGTAAAATAACTTGTAATCTGAAAGTCTCCTGCAGACAAAAGAAAATTGCTGCTACACTGTTACAATTTGCAAACTAGTTGTTTCTCAACAACTTGTGAATTACTGCCTTAATTAGCAAGCTCTTGTGTGCACCAATAACATGCAACTAGAACTTCACCGGCTGCGCAGCATGTAAAAAATATGACATGCAGCTAATAAGTGGCATCATAATAGTAGAATATGACTGCTTTTCTAATTGAAGAAATTGTGACGGAAACAAAAAAGAAATTGTTTACAAAAAATGAGCTCTCAAAATACGCAGAAATGCTTTAATGGAAGCAAAGTAGAACAACCCATGATTCTTATTTTTGGAAATCTTCTATCGTACGGAGAGAGTGAGATATGGTGGTGGAGTCGGTCACAGTGGGTGCGCGGTGGTGGTGGATTTGGACAAAAGACAGGTAGGGTGGGGTGGAATGGGGTGGTGGGAGTCAGAAGGGAGAGGGGGAAGAAGAGACAAGGAAGAATGGAGGGGCAACTTCGAACTTTTGTATGGATTTTTGGTTAAATTTGTAAACTTGCAAAAGATAGGCTAAAAATCATTTTGTGGTACAAAATATGGCTAGTTATCAAAATTTCCCCTCCCCAACGCCGCGAGCTCCACCTCCCTCCCTCCGTCGTGTCCGTCTGTCAAATGCATAATTCGGTTCATAAATTTCAGAAATCCTCCATGAAAATCTTTCAAGCTTTCGGATTTGCTTTCCAAAATTTTGAGAACTGAGTTCAGTTCGAATCCCAGCCCCACAAAAACTCAGCTTGCTGAGACAAATTGGGAATCTGTAATTTTCCCTTTCCAGGTACCCCCCCTCTCTCGCTCTGTTTGTCTGTCTAAATTTTTTGTGTTCTCTCTTCAATCTTATGCTTTTTATTTTTCCTTGTAATTTCTAGATTTTTAAGAATTGGGTGGAAACCCAGAAGAAGAAGAATTGAAGGGAATGGAGGATTCATATTCTGTGTGCAGCCCCAGAAGAATCCTGAGTGTGTCAAAGAAGAGGAGGGCAACTGTGTCATTTGTGGATCCAGATGATAAGGCTTCTGGGTTTCATGGCCCCAAGCCTTCTGAAGTCTATGGCTTTGTTGGTTCCATCACTACTGTTGTGGCTACAGGTCCCCTTCTTCATCTTCCAATCAGTGTTTAAAATATCGGTATCAGTGGAAACAGCGATATGCAAATTTGTGGAAATAACGCAAATTTGTGAAAATTTCAAACACTGCTTCCAATCTTCATTCTTTTTCAGTTCGGAAAACAAATACTTGTTTTAATTTGTGTTGGCAGTTATATTCTTGGTGTGGGCATATGTTCCAGAGTCTTGGCTGCTTTCCATTGGGATCTTTTACTATCCCAGCAGGTCAGTGCCCTCTGGTTTCAGTTTCAATCGTTTGTGTTTATTAAGTTTTCGTTCAAGATTGTTATCCTCCATCGATTCCATTGTTTTGTTTGTCCAAATGGTTAGATGATTAGCTTCTTGCAACTTCGAGAATATTTGTCATAGTTTGAGAAATTTATAGTCATTTGGGTCAGTAACAAGAACTTTGCGCTATGGATCAGAAATTAGGGTCTTTTGGGGAATTCGTTATAAGCGCTTTGGTTAGGAGCGCTAATATTGAAAGCAAGATGAAATTGTTTATAAAAATTCCAAGTGTTTACTGAAAAGGCTCTTGGAAGTGTTTTAGCATCGATGGAAAAAGGAGGATGCACTATGACGTTTGGTTAAATCGACCCCCTTCCTCCTTGGTTCATGTTTTGTTAAGGGATGGTTTGCCATGTCCACCGTTGAGCACTGTCTAGTCCAGTAGTTTTTTGGGGTTGATTTCTTAGCATATTGCAACGTCTTCTATCTTGCCCACCTTTATCGCCTGTTTTCTCTTTTTCTGTTCCTTGTGGCTTTAGCTTCCTGGCTTTTCAATGAAGTTGCTGTCTGTTAAAAAATAACTGAAAAAGCAATTTGAAGTGCTTCCTCTAGATAGCACTATACTGTTGTAACCCACAAGCATTTTTTACTTTTTGTTGCCAAACAGTCAGAAGCAGATTTAACCATTAGAAAAGCACTTCCTAACAAAGTAACAAGATTGCTCTTTTGAATTTATGGTGCTATTTTCAGGTATTGGGCATTGGCCGTGCCAGCTTACGCTATGATGACTTTGGTATTAGCACTGGGGTTTTACTGTGGCCTCAACTTCATGTCCACCCCTCCCCCTTCTAGCTTATATACTGTTTACGGTGAGAGTTTATTGCCTTCCCTTTTGTGATCAGAATTTTGGGTCGTGGTTCCAGGCTTTCAGTTCATTGTTTTGATCTAGTTATGTGTGACCTTCCATTTTCTTTTGCAGATGAATTCAGTAGGGATCCTTTGAGCTCTGCTCCAATTGGTGACGATGATCAGCCCATAGAACCCATATCCGATATCAGCATCGACAGAGTCAATCGTTCCATGTTTAAATAACACGAGCAACCTTGGAGGGAATGGCAACCTGTACCCAACTCTCTAATATTTTACCCAGGTGCTGTATTGCTTTCGAATTAATTGATTCTTTGGTTGAGCAAAAGGCAGTCCATTGCTTACAGCAGAGGAATACGCCTAATGGAACAGGAAAAACTAGAAAACAGAGTTTAGCTGCAACCGGCTAGGGCTCGGTGAATGCTTGCGTATAATTTCATTCATTTTTGCTATCTTGGTCACAAATGAAATTGATTCCCAATTGTATCGTCAAATTTATCGTCAAGTTTGAAGAGACAAGGCATGAACAAGAGAAATTCTTATATGCATTCAGCGTTACAAGAGGCTTTGGCAAAGTATGCATCCATTACTGTGATTGAGAAAATTTTTGAGTGCAAAAGCGTCGTCCAACTATATTTCCTTAGCAAGGAAAACCCAATTCGGAAATTACATATAATCCGTACGACAATATTAAAACAGGAGTTAACAATTAAGCTGGCGAGACTTACATGTAATTTATCATGTACACGAAAGATAAGTTAGCAAAACTGATAAATAAACCGAGCTTTCGTACTAACATGTTCTTAGTTGCTGTCCAAGAAAATGTGTAGCGTTTCAGTACTCCTTTCTAACATACGTGTTCAAGGAATTTAACTCAGCTTCTCCGAATCATCTTGGCTGCCTAAATAGATCATCACGATCACAAGTGGACCAAACAATCCGAAAAGTCAGCAGTGTGTGTGTATATATACAAGCACTTGCCTTGGATGCTGCAGGTCTTCAGACTTCGCTTGTTCGGAAGCAGAATACTGACAATTTGCTTCTCCTTCTTGGGGATGGCTCACATTCGTAAACGAATTGTCACTCCACGAGAAGCAACCACCGATAATTTTCAACTTCAGAATTTTCTCTCAAGTACCAACTTCAAGATTTTCTTGGTTGCTTTCTTGAACTTGGATCCTCGTCATCTGTGAATCTAGCATCTCATGAACTCTAATCTTCAACTGCAGCGCAAACATCCAAGTGCGAATTTTTAGTTGACAAGAAAATACTTCTGTTTCCTATTTAATTGGTATGAAACTACAAACACCGAGCAAGAAGTTCATAACGAAGTAGAGCACATAATCAAATAATACAAGAGATGGCCAATTTAAGTTTCAAAAGGCCGGCTATAAAGCTTCTTTATCCCTTTTTGGAAAGTTCAAAAACAACCGAGCTCAAGGCTTGAACGCTCAACACCATATTTGGAGAGGGAACTTATGATATAAAGATTACCTCGGTGAGCCCTACTTCATTCGTCACTGACACATGAATAGCTCCATCGGGACCCAATTTCCGGTACCTTTCCAGCTTAAGATCAGAATCATAACCATTATCAGTGGCAAATAGCACAGGAGACTTTTGCAACAGATCACATTTGGACACAACATCAAGCCACAAATGCTCACCAAACCTCTCCTTTATTTCTTTGTATATGACAAACTGCATGGTCGTCATAGAAAACCATGGATTTAATATACTGGAAAGGAAGAACAAAAGCACAACAGTGAAGGGGGAATACTTTCTACAGAGGTGAATTACCATAAAAAATTAACTATACTGACTTATTTCTCAAACATCGCTCAATCTGTTGTGAGATGAATCCCTTCCATTTTAATTAATTCAATTTAATGCCATTAAAACTATGTTTCACATCTTTTAATGAATCCAGTAGTCGTACGTAAAACCATGCAATACCTGGTCAGAAGGTGAGGTCCCGCATTCCCCAGAGAGGTCATGGACATAGAGAATTGCAGTCGGTAAATGTGAGAGGACAGCAAGTGTCAATTTTTCCAAATTATTTCTGTCCTCTGAAAGATGCAAGAAAAAAAAAAGGAAATGCAATGACAAACCAATCGAGCAACAAAAAATATAAGCACCAACCACAACCACAGACAAGCTGAAAATAAAAAACTTATCATAACATATCTTGACCACAGTCAGTCACGTAACTGAAAAAAATGTACCAATGAGTGGTGAAGAAACATTTTCTTCTTACAGAACCCAAATAACCTATGTCATTATACTGAAAACTAACCTCAATGGAAAGGAAACCAGGGCATACACAGGACAAGAATTTCCATATATACACACACACGCACACACACACACGACACCCAAGTGGTGCTTTAACCGGAGTAGGATAACAGTGACAAGAATTTCCAGTAGTATACCTTTCCTCCGATGCAGTGTCAAATATACTAGTATGTATTACCAGTTTCCAACTTTTGATATTGTCCAAAAGCCTATCTAGTGGAAAACAAAACTTGTATGCCAACCATTAGAGGCGAAGAAAACTTATTATTCTTTGATCATGTGTTGTCAAATCATATTATTGCATATATATGGTCCATAAACGATTTGCATTAGAAGCACAAGTTCCTACGTTTTTCATATACAAATTAACTTGTACAAAACTGAAATGAGACAGTTCTGAACAAGCTCAAGTCAAGTTCGCCAGATAGGGTTAACTTTGAGAGAAAATGAATTAACTGATTGCATAAATTTGGAGTGTTGTAATGACTTGAAAATTATATGCAAGCAGAGTAAAAAGAAAGAAATTGGTTTTCCTATGCTCTGTTGGAATTATCCTCAAAGTTACTAGTCATATTTGAACCAAAATCCTGTCGGACTTGATATATTTGATCAGACTCTAAACCAAGTTCCATTTACTCAAACGAGTCAGCAATGGTCATAAATACGTCATAACAGTTCATTCAGCAATATACCATAATTGCTTGTGTTTTCAGAATGAGCCAGTGTGTCAACCAACTATATTAAATTTTGGCATTTAACATCGACATTTTGCATTTTGGATCAATGAGTGCAACAATTAAGCATAACCACACTATAAGATACCTACAACTAGCAAATGCCAGTCACTTACCATCACATCTCTTCAGCAGGCCAGGAGTGTCTGTCACCTGTAGTCAACTTCTAGATATAAATTAAGACTGAAAATCAAGAATATATATCATTCTAAATATTAGACAAATTGTCCGACCTGAAAAGTTTGATGGTTTGATATAATATGACCCATCAGTATTCCTCTTGTTGTGAACGGGTAGTTGCAGACCTAAAAGTAAAGGAAAGAAAAAGTTGAGATAAAGACGATGAAATTTGATAGTAATAATAATTGAAAAATAAGATTTTCATACTTCATACAGAAACAGATGCTCAATTGGGCCAGCCACAAATATCATACGATGCATACAGGAGCTCAACAGACTCTAGATTCGCAGTACAACTTCCATGGTACTAATTCAACATCCCAAAAACCAAACCCAACCTCACCCTAGTATACCCCGAACCAAAAGATACTAAACTAAAGGAATGTAGAATAACATTGTACACAGAACACCGAATAAGAAAAACCCTGCTCTCTGAAACGCATTTGCCTTCAACACGATTAACTTCTAATCCTCTCCGAAAAGAAAGGTAAAAGGATTTAAATCATTAGTCTCCATTCTAGTTACTACTACCACGTCAAAAGTCTTAAAACATATTATGCAAATTTCTTTGATGATAAAGATCATATGTACTTATAGAAGTGAATATCGATGGGAAAAAGCTTTTCCCCTCTAGGGACACTGAATAATAATATATAATATAATGCAACCAGCTTGAATCCTACAGATGATCACCAAAAGTTTTATTAAGAAAGAAATCATTTTGATAATTTTCTCTCGGCCACTCCACTTTTGGTGTTCCTTTGCATTTCTCTTTTTTCGGATTTCTATTCATTCATTTTGATTATTAATGGGTTTCAACACACCACCAATGGAGACCCATTCGAAATATCCTTCTGGAAAAATAAAAAAATACCAACTCCAATAGCAATATTCAAGGTTCCTAATTGCTGAAGGAAATTGAATGATACAATTGACCAATCTAGCCACCATTCATTCAACTTGTCTCATTAACACCTTTAGTGGCTATTTTTCTGCAAAAAGAACATCATATTTGTCATGGAAATTGGGATACCTCAGGCTTCCCAGTGGAGAGTATACGAACCAAAGATGACTTCCCAACATTAGGAGCTCCAACAAGACAAAGTGTTGGTGCTTCTAGATCAACTACCGGCATTGCTCGCAGAGTCTGCAAGTATAAATGGTTAAAACAGACAGGCTTCCAAAAAGGGGGAAAAAAGCACCATGACTCAACAAACCAGAGTTGCATAAATCAACCCAATAAAGGTTCTAAAATGCATTCCTAAACAAGGCATGGATCCACAGAGAAAACGTTTTTTATAATTGAAAGTATGATGCAACCAGGTAGTATGATTTCTTTTCCTTCTTTCTTAGAGAACTAGTATGGAAAATTAGACAAGTCTGGAGAACTGGAGTTATAACCTTGATTTGGGCATTTGTTGGATTAATGACCCTCCTATGTGGATTAGTTCTGTGCTGATGGATGACTTATTTGGGGTTTCTAGGCCTCGGAACATTTGTAATTCTGATGTTGTGCAGTTTCTTTTGGGGTGTTTCACCCCTGTTGTTTACCAAAAAAACAAAAATTAGACAACTAAAAATGGTACAGAATTTAGTGATAAAAATGATAGGCTACAAATACTTTTTTCTTCCACAGTGCATTAAATTAAAGGAAATTGAATGATACAAATTTTTCCTGACATAAATTTTTATAGAATATTGAAAATCTTGTGGTGCAAGATCAGATTCTCAGACGCCATATCTATAAAATATCAAAAAGATAGATATGATGTGTATTGAAACAATTAAATAGTTAATTAACTATCATAATATACTATACATGTCATGCCTTAAGTTCAAATGAAAAATGAATAACCCAAAACAAGAACCACTATAGAACCAAGTTCAGAAAGCAAAGTACCTTGGCTATGTGTAACAAATCATCAACATGTTTTCCTTCACGATTAAATGTCTCTTCAACTTTCTTTATACCCTGGACAGATAGTTGTAACAGAGTAAATATCTATCTGCACAGCTGAAATGGAGTTTTTCTTTTTTGGGTAAAGAATAGAAATGACCTCAGTTAGTCTTGCCTCTGCTTCCTTCTTCGTCGTTGACTGCCACAAAATATACAAGCCTTTGTTAAATATTGTCTTCTAGAATTAATAAATTACTTCCAAATTTTTTATTTATTTTTTCTTATGTTCTAATCTTGGCTAGGATCCCAAGCATTTTGCATATTCCAACAGTGATAAGAGATTAAAAATGGACTGGGGATGGTAGAGTAAAATCCATACAGTAGTTACAGAATGCATTGCTTGTGTTTCTGGTAAGAGAAGATGCAGGTAATCCTCATGAGGCTAATAAAGGACAAGTAGGTGAGAAATTTCAAGAATGCTAAGCAGTTAACAAATGGAAGCCAATATGAAACAGGCATGGAAGAATAATGCAACACACCATAAAATACCACTTAAATTTTGACTAAGGTTTCAATGCTATATACAATGGAGCATAAACATAAAAATTAAGGAGGTGTGAGAATAGAAAGAAAGAAGCATAAGCTGCCAACTATAAGTGCATCATATGCAATCATGATGGACAATGTGAAGGAATTCAGTCAAAGGTCATAAATTTCCACACTGAAAGCTTGAATTGGGAATTGTATCCACCTTAGCACAAAGAGATGCATGTTCCTTTCCAATAGACACAACCTTCTTCCTCAAAGCATCCACCTTTCCCAACACCTGTAATTATCAAATAAAAAAGTTGAAGACCAACCAGTTGATGAGAGTCTAATACCTGTCTGCATTCTCTTAGTGTCACAAAATAGTATAATTCAGTCCTCAAGGAGAAACAATTGGAAAACTAGTTTGAAAGGTATACATTAAAATCATTCACAAAGACAAGGAGAGAGGGCATGTTTGCCACATGATTATGAGAATATCAAGAAGTTATTCCAAATAACTTTTTACAGCAATAACATCCTTGATTTATTCTGCATTGAAAATTGGCCATGATTTGCTCCGTATGTACCTGTTCATAATTTCCATCCCCAAGAGTTAATTCAATAAGAGACCGTTCATAAGGGTGAAGACACTTTTTATTTGGAAAATTCTCCGAATAAGTTCTCAATGGAATTGCCAGTTCCTGCAGAAGAAAACAAAAAGCTAGTCGGTCATCATTGAACAGTCTAAACAGTACAAAAGAAAATATAATAAAATGTTGAACTTAAGTTAAGAACAAACTTTCATCAATGCATCAAGTTGCTTTGCACCTCTATTTCTTTCTCGCTTTGCAATATTGGCAATACCTGAAAATAAGATAACAAAATCATGGGCAGCAGACTAGCAGTAGGGGACCTACAAACCAAGTTCCCTGCAATTCCGATCTAATGTATTTTTGTTAAAATTGATATAATATAAATTCTCATTACAAATACCCTTTGTTGGTGTAATCCTCTTAGCCTTCCTTAGTGCCGAATACAGAATGTCAACAGATGGCATCACCATGGGTAGCTTTTGGAATGCACCAACATCTTCAAGATTTTCAGGAGATTTTTCCTAAAATTACAATATTGGGAACCATGGTACCATCATTACTTCCTCCAATATTTTTGTCCCAAAAGAATTGAGTGGTAAAAGATGCAAGAAGGTATTCATCACAAAAATAAAATAAAATTTGAAATAAGCGTGAAACTTATTTAAACTTGAGAGAACAATGCCCTTCCTATTCTGTCACATTAGAATACCAAGTAAACAAATTGACAACAATCCACTAACATACAGCATTAAGATATCAAACTTGCTCAAGTCGTCAACATCAACTTGCTCAAGTTGTCAACAAGATCGATCATTTACTCAAAAGAACTCGTCCTTGAAGCTATTCCTGCAACCTATCGTATGAGATGCACACCCAATAACAACAGTCAGAAATTTCTAAATCCCAAACTTCAAAGACGTTGTTCATGGTGGTTATTGATCAACAAAACCCAACTCCCTCGTTGACTGCTCCAGAAGGTCATACCCTTTTTGCAGTCAATCATTTATGCTTAAATCCTGAATTTCATGTTTATTTGCACTATACCTGATACTTATTCATAGGGTCTCTCCAACCTCTCGTACTCTTATCGTCCAATAAGAAAATGTTAGTAGTAGAAGTAATGAGGGAAGGTATTCATACATAATGTCAAAGACATATAGTTTGTAACAAGAACACAAAAGCAAACCAATTACAAAGTCAATGCTCTTGAAATTATACTATTTCCATGAAACTAGAAAGTAATAATTACATAATGTTAAACCTTTGCTTCCTTATTCTTTTCCCTTTTCTGGACCAATTTATAATTTCATATCATTTCTTGCTTTGCTTCACTCGCTAGTAATTCATCCTTATGTGCGGTTAAATGTGCCCATTCCATGAGACCAAACAAATACAGAGAGCAAGGAAAAATACCTTCGGCCTGCTTTCCGGTTTTACAACGGCTGACGGTACATAGCTTCCCTTGACAACTTCGTATGTGCTAGTTTGTATTTCCTTGCAGAAGCACAGAACCGGAGAATTTCTGGCACTCGGTATCAAGTGCGGACCTGCATTAGGATTCAAATAATTTCAGAAAACAGTAATGGCAAAAAAAAGAGTTGCAGAAAATAACTAATTAACGGCAGTAATCAAGAAGCAAGCATGGATTCCATAGCCAATAAAAAATACCTTTTGAGAGAGAGAGAGAGAGAGAGAGAACCTTTTGAAATTTTGGAGAGTGTGAGTGGTAATCTGTTAGGGGTCTGCCACAATTGGAAGAGACTGCAAGCCTTGCTCATCCTTTTCCCTGCTCAATCAATCCACCTTCTCAAGTATTTGTTCCACGAAAAACAATGGCCAACTGATGAGAGAGGTTTCTGAGGTTTATCAACTTCTTTTTGTTTATTGGCACCCAACCTGGAGAGCTGCTAAACCAACCCGTTGTCCTCTTTTAGCCGAATTTGAACGTTTTGATGTTAGGGTTTTAAGTTCGAACGGTGAATTTGATATTAAATTAAGTTTGTCGTTGTATGATTTAGTCGAATTTCTTATTTTTTAATGTAAAAATATCGATGTACTAAAAAAAATTAAAAACAAATCTCACTTTATAATTTTACCAACCTTATAAAGTTAAAAAATTAAAATGTTATTTTCTTACCTACTTTTATTTCCAAATTAACTTTTAATACATGTATATATGAATTATAAATTTGTTCGAATAAGGACATAAGTATGCGAATTCAAATAAAAAAGTATCATGGCACAAATTTGTGCTAACACTAATCATAAACTTCGACGGCGACAAATTCAAATATCTAGTGCGACAAGTCAAATGATCACACTCAAAATTATTTTTCTACCTTTTCATCTAAAACATAATCTTCAACTTCTTTCGTAAAAGCGTCATTTTCTATCTCTTCCATAGAAGCATCACCTTCTACCTCTTTAATGAAAAAGTCTTTTTTTTTTTTTTTTTTTGAATGAAAGGAGATGAAAAGATGAGTTAAAGTTTAACTTAGAGAAGTGTTATTGGCACTTCAAAAATCTCATTCTATACTCCTCACAAGTGTATTTTTCTTTCCTAATATAGAAAATTTGGAATGTAGAATGAGTTTTTGGAATGCTAATAACAATTCCATTAATTTAAGGTAAACAAATTGTCTCTAAAGAGATCACGGTGTCATCCAATCTTTTGATTATAAAAAATAAGATAAAAAAAGATAAACCTCACTTTATAAAAAAATATCGATGTACTAAAAAAATTTAAAATAAACCTCACTTTATAAAAAAATATCAATGTATTAAAAAAATTAAAAATAAACCTCACTTTATAATTTCACCAACCTTAAAAAGTTAAAAAAATTAAAATGTTATTTTCTTACCTACGTTTATTTCCAAAATAACTTTTAATACATCTACATATGAATTATAAATTTGTTCAAATAAGAACATAAGTATGTGAATTCAAATAAAAAAGTATGATGGCACAAATTTGTGCTAATACTAATCATAAAGAAAAACGTCGACGACGATAAATTCAAATATCTAGTGCGACAAAGTCAAATGATCACATTTAAAATTATTTTTCTACCCTTTCATCTGAAACATAATCTTCAACTTCTTCCGTAAAAGCGTCATTTTCTATCTCTTCCATAGAAGCATCATCTTTTACCTCTTTAATGAAAAAGTCTTTTTTTTTATTTTTTTTTTGAATGAAAAGAGATGAAAAGATGAGTTAAAGTTTAACGACACTCCAAAAATCTCATTCTAGACTCCTCACAGATGTACTTTTCTTTTCTAATATAGAAAATTTGGAATGTAGAATGAGATTTTTGGAATGTTAATAATAATTCCATTAAGTTAAGGTAAACAAATTGTCTCTAAACAGAGCATGGGTGTCATCCAATCTTTTGGTTATAAAAAATAAGATAAAAACAGATAATTAATGTTCTTACTAATTATTTTACGATTGAACAAATTTGTAATTAAAATATTAATTTAAAGGTGGTGAAAAGATACGATCACTCCAACTTTTCAATAAGTTCACCCAACAAAATTTGTTAATCTATAATATGTCGAATTTAACCCTTGAAATAATAATTTGGGAGAAAGAAAAATTCAAAAACTACCATCTCCAACTTTCTCAATTCCAACTCCATCATCTCCACAATCAAAAACCAAATCCGAAACCTCAATTTCTCTCCCTTCACTAAAAGATTACGAATTTGAGATTGGCCACCCAAAGCCAAAAAGCAACCATGGTGGTGTTCGCCAACGTCTTCGTCGTCATGGTCCACTCCAGCATGCTGGCACTCCTTTGTCTCTGATCGACTGGTTTGAGAGAGGGAGAGACGGAAAAAGGGAGGGAGAGAGAGAGGGGAGGACCGGAGGAGTGGGAGGCAGCGGCCCCGATGGATTTCTGATATTTTTTCTTTAATTTGTTTTTCTTTATCAAAAATTGTTTAAATGGTAGACCATCTGAAGTCTAAAATTTCGATTTTAAACTCGTTCAGACCATCTTTTATCATTGGGCCTAAAACAAATCTTGTGATAAAACTTAAAGGTTGGGCAGCTTTAGCCCCAAGAACCGGCCAAGCTTATTTTCTAGCCCATCACTGCACGTGGACGCGGCAAACACAAGTCTAGACTCGGCACACTAACGCGCCCAACGCTTTTCCACGTGACATAGGCGGCAGGGCAGTCAGCTCTGGGACCCAACGGCTTTTTTTTTGTGATCAAACGACTGGAAATAATGGGCGGTTGGTTAATTAAATGGTTCATACTCAATTTTTTTTTTTTAAATTTGATTTACAAATACATTAAATCTAACATTGTGATCGAATATGATCAAATTTAATGATAAGAAAAATTTAACGATCTAAAATTAAATTTGATGGCTAAAACAATTTTAAAAAAAAAAGTATTTAAAGAAAACACACTTAATTTTATTACAAAGAAAGGCTAACACCACGTTGTTCCATGCTTTCACGTTTCATGGGGTAGTTTAGTAATTTTATTATTTATTGGAATCTAAATATTTTTTAGTTAAAATGTTCATAAAATATGTTAAGATAATCTACATAAATTTTAATTTAAAAGTTACCCGGAAAAAAAGTAACCTAATCTATTTTTTAATAATCTCTAGCTAAATTTTTGAGTGAAAACCAATTAAACTGTTGGAGTTGGTCTTACTATAAGAATTAAGGGCAAGTTTGAAAGTTCAGTCACAAAATTTTTTGTTGGGTGAACCTATTTTGAAGTGTATCAATAAAGGCATTATTTTGTTTATTTGGGAAATTAGGAAATTATTAAAAGACCCATGTATGAACATTTTTCTTTAATCAACTGCTAAATATTTTTCATTTGATATTTAGGCGTTTGAAAAAAAAAAAAAAATTCTTAAGGCGCTTAATTGTTGATGAACACTCAAATAAAATATATAAGTGCACATATGACGGTGTCTATAATTGTCTCATGGTGCAGTTTATTCTGATGCAACCGATAGCTTTCTTAGTGGTTTTGTGTGTAGAATCCTAATGGTAGTGATCATCATTTTTTTTTTTACAGTTTGTCTTTAAAGTCGGTGTTGCTTGTATGCAAAAAGTGTTCTCTTACCCGTTTTGTTGGCAATTTTGTGCGCATAGTCTTCCAGGTGACGGAGTATGAAGTGATCGAATTTCTAGTTGTAAGAATTCAAGTTTCTTTGGCTTTGGTGCTGGATGTGTTCTCGTTCTTGTCACACCCAAAAATTTGATACGGTGACTAATAGAATGGTCAAGTTGTTGGTTATTTTTTGTTTTGAGTCCTTTTTGTTTGAGGATCCTTTAAATTTAATCCATAATGCACTATTTGAAGTTTGTACTTTTTCTTAAAATACTAATAAAATCGTTATAGTTTTGCCATGAAAAATAAATAAGTACGTAAAAAATTTGCAGACAGTAATAACTAAAAAAATTAGGGTAGAAGCGTCAAAAAATTAGTGGTTGTTAAAATCTTCTAGAGTATAAGTAGAATTAAAATATATATAATAATAGAGATAAACTATAAAAGAATATTTTTTATAAAGAAAATAAGTATTTTATACGGTGTAAACATAGAAAATATAAAAATTAGTTTAAATGTTATAAATAGTCAAAAGAGAGAACCTTTGCTAGAGATCAAAATGGAACATGATAAGTATCACTTTATCTTGTTTTCTTTACTTTTGTTGGATAAGAGAGATGAATACATAAGAAAATAAGTGACTGAAACTTGTATAATTTCTTCTTACTTTTTGCTTTGAGCTTTTGTTGTTTGCAAGAAAAAAGTGAAGTTGTTTCAATGTAACAATGGCACAAATTCAACTCTTTATTTGGAGGTTTTTTGACACATCCCGACACAAATCAAGGTGTGTTGGCCGTTACGCCTTGAATTTGGTTGGGGTGTGTCAGTTTGGTATCAGAGCATAGGTAGCATAAGTGCAGTCCAGTAGGACAATTACTAATTATACAATACCAAAGGTAGTCCTACATTAGTGATCATATGTCAGAACTGCTGTCAATTCCTCGTAAGCCACCAACAAGCACTCTTACCTAAAACCTAGAGGGGCGCAAAACAGAAAATATGAGTGGGCTTTTGGTTTTCAGTATATATATATATATATATATATGCTTGGTATTTTCCCAGAAAATGTGTTTAAATGGACTTGTGTTTTAAAATGTCATGCCAAATGTTTTATATTTAGAATATGCATTTAGTAGTTTCACATATTTATGTTTGACGTTGTGGATGCTCAATTAAGTTCCAAGTGAGTTTATAGATTGCGGATGTGAGTTGCACGATTATGCTGAGATGTATCTATAGCTCATAACCTGCACCCCGATGTTAGTGTTCCCGCCCGTGGTCAGGGCACAATCCTTCACGTGATGTTCACCTCCAGCACCATACGCTTACCTTGGGTCCAAGTTAGGTGCACAATCCTGTCGTACAGACCACTATAGGTGGTTTCGACTCGTAGATGACCCGCGATCATTCGCACAGTCTTCACGTGATCATAGCACTTAAGCGTATTTATTTACACCCAGTCCTGGCGTACATACCACTTTAGGTGATTCTGACTCGTGTACAGGCATACTTGTTGAGCTATTGGTTGAGCTGTACAGGTCGCATTAGGTGACTCCGGTTGGATGGATGAGCTATAAACTCAGCCATACAGGTCATCTTAGGTGACTCCGGCTGATATGTTACTTGTCATTGACTTACTTCACCTAGTTTACCTAATTCGTTATACTAAGATTTTTGGTGTGGTATACTTATGGATTGTCCTATTCTAAGTATGGTTGTGATATAGATATGTATTCTAATTTCTAGGAAATTATACATGTTTTACGGCAAGGGGTTACTACCTTTGATAATTGAAATGGTCATGCCTTGATTTTGGTCAGGATGTGTCATTTTCATCTGACATTATACAGT